CGACAGGCCGGCCCGGTCTCAGAAGCAAGTTGCTTGAAGACTGCCCAGGTAAGTCTTCCCCCTCCCCCCCCCCCACATGGTGCTCTATAATGTATTGCTGGGTTATGTAGTGCCATTCTGTATTGCTGTGCTGTATAATTTTACACTTTCCATGTCACTATATTGCACTCCCCAGTTTTTTTTTCTTTTTTACTCCACCGCTCCAGGCTCGCTCCTGTGATGGACTACAACCTCAATACAAACTAGAAGTCCCATCACTGGAGCCATTTAAAAATGTATTTTATTTTTTTATCCGATTAACCGATTAATCGAACTTAATAATCGGCTAACTAATCGATTTTGAAAATAATCGTTAGCTGCAGCTCTAGAGTCAATGTCAAAAAGTGCCACCACTCGGGGTATCTGATCCGCGGCACACATGGTCACTCACCTGGTAAAGAAGATGGTGGCCTCCGCATCCGAGGCTAGAGGCTGCAGAGCATCGTGGACATACTTGAGGTCCTGAATCCCGGTAAGTTCCGGCAGTCCGGAGGAAGTCATCTGAAGAGTAACACGTGACAGAGAAGAAGGAATCACCGATCAGAAAGGAAACGCAGCCAATGGCAGTCCACGTTATTCAGGTTTGGATGGAGCGGGGGAGGGGCTGGAATCTCTGTTGGCTATTTGGGGAGATTTGCCGTCACTTTGCGTCACCAGGACAGGAAGTGAATGGAAATCCACAAAGAAGTCACAGACCACATATATGTGTAAGAAGAGCGTGGCATGGTTATTAGAGACTCTGCCAGGTTTTTATTGCCGTGCCAGGAAGACTTCCCTCACTTAGAGGATACCCGAAGCATGTCACTGGGACAGGAAGTGAGGAAATCTCCCCAAAGGGGTCACTGACAACACTCATTGAGGTGATTCCTGTTCACATGTATCTCAGAGCAGAGCGCCATTTTCCATCAGGCCACCAATCTTCTGCTCCGGTGGTTTCTGTGGTGGAGACCTGACTGAAATGGGTGTCCCGGTGCTGAACCCGCTCATTACAGACCCGGCAGAGCACAATCCCAGAGACAGGAAGTTCGGGAGGTCTGGGGTCTCTTGGGGGGGGGGGGGAGGGGAAGTACTGACCAGAGACAGGAAGTTCGGGAGGTCCGGGGTCTC